TGAAATATAGTATTTCAGTTGAGCGACTATAATGTGTTTTCTGAAATGGGTGAAATGAGTTATTTGAGAAAAGTGAAATATATCTTTTTGGTGTGAAATGGCTCTTTCAATGTGTGAGACTGATATTTCTGCTGAGTGAAATATGTTCCAATATTTTTTCCATAAATATGAAGTGAAATGAGTTTTTGAGATATATTTTATAATGAGTTAAATCAATTTTCCAAATCAGTGAAATGTGTTGTTTCAAATTTGTGAAATACTTATTTTGGAAACTAGTGAAAGGAGTAATATGTTTTCTCAAAATGACTGCAATGTGTTTTCTGAAACTAGTGAAATGGGTGAAATCTATATTTTGCATATGAGTGCAGTGTGTTTTCTAAAATGAGTGAAATAAGTTATTTGAATAAAAGTGAAATAAAACCAATTTTTGCTGTGAAACTAATTTTTCAGTGTTTGAAAATGATATTTTTTATAAGCGGAATGCATTTCAATATATTTCGTAAATTTGCAGTGAGATTAGTATTGCAAATGAGAGTAATGTGTTTTCTGAAATGTGTGAAATATATTTTGGAAACGAGTGAAATGGTTTTTTAACTGATAATTTGTTTAAATAACTGTAATGTATTTTCTGAAATGAGTGAAATATATCTTTTGCAAATGAGTGTAATGTGTTTTATGAAACTAGCGAAACGAGTAAAATATATCTTTTGTAACAAGTGAAATCAGTTTTTTGAAACGTACGAAATATGTATTTCAATTGAGTGGGTGTAATGTGTTTTCTGAAATGAGTGAAATGTATCCTATTTAATTGAGTGTAATGTGTTTTCTAAAATGAGTGAAATCTATCTTTTGTAACGAGTGTAGTGTGTTTTCTAAAACTAGTGAAATGAGTGAAATATGTTTCTTTTCGTTGAGTGAAATATGTTTTCTTGAAATCGGTTAAATAAAATTAGTTGAAATATATCCAATATTGGCCTTATTTTAAAGTTCATGGCATGAGCAATTCAAATCTATAAAAAGTTTCAAAGACAAAAAATTATTTCAAAAGTTATCAACTATTCTAACTATCACAATGAAATAAAATGCTAGTCTTCATTTTGAAGAGAGAGAATATTATATGCATGCAGCCACTCACCCTTCTCTCTCTCTCTCTCTCTCTCTCTCTCTCTCTCTCTCTCTAAACTGTTATTACCTTGTATACCCATGACAAAATACTATCATCCAAGGCAGCAAGATATAGTCATCATGCAGGTTGCCCTATTATTAGCCATGGCTTTAGGCAGCCAATCCATTTTAATGAACGCGCGTTGATTCCAGCAATCAAGTCTCGAGATTCATGCCACTACAAATCCAATCAAATCATTCCTATGCACGTCTTCACCTTCGACAATATAAGAAGCCTACCCCCATCTCCCTCATGTCATCTGCAAACACAGCTTCCTGCATTCTCTCTTACTCCTCGAGAAGAAGAACTCTTGCAACAATGGCGGTTTCGTCGAAGCTTTTCCCGGCCGCCATCCTCCTCCTGCTTCTCCTCCTGGCCACAGGTAATTGATTGCTTGTTTGTCCTGATGGGCGGGCTAGTAATTAACTTCAAACCTAACCTGAGACTGATTGTTCTTGATGTGTACGCGCAGAGATGGGGCCTGTGCGGGAGGCCATGGCGTGCGAGCACGCGCGGTGCAAGAAGTGCACCGGGGCGTGCTTCGACCCGGATGAGTGCGCCATCACGTGCCGGAACGAGGGCTACGACTCCGGCGACTGCACCGGCAGCGGAGCCTACCGCTGCACGTGCAGCAAGAATTGCTAGCTAACTAGTGCGTGAAGAACACACGAGTAGAATAAAAAGGGGATTACAGTTCTGTGCTACTCTAGTTTGTTCTTTCCTTTTTGACCATGGATTTTTTGTTCGAAGGTTCACACGAATGTGGCCTAAACTTAGTGGTTCCAGTTCTGAGATTATTTTGTATCGCAAGCTATGTACTAAGAGAGATTTCTCTCAACAAAGATTATACTAAAAGAGAGTAATCGTTTGTCAAAGGTTTATCCTTCAGAACATACAGGAGTATACGGTGGGCAATCAAATTGACATGGCAAGCATCCAAAACTGCTTAGCAAATGGCCGACAAGTGGGTAACATTGGGGCGACACAAAACAAACATATACTAGCATCTTAACCCTTCAGAACAAACGCAATGGCGGTTTCCCTGGTCATCCTTCTCCTAGCCACATGTACGTTGTAATTGATTGGTTATCCTAATGATATTGGGTGCTTATGCACGCATGGATTAAACGTCTCCAATCACAACGGTCATTTGTCCCCGGAACACATTGTACAGCGTGTCCACTTTAGACCCTTTACTTGTCTAGTTTTTTCGAAAAGGATGATGACCGACGGCATCATTTGTCTAGGTACAGAACAATATCTCTCAATCCATTTTCAAATTGTTTAAAACAAGCACATGAATGATAGGGTGGTCCGCTCTTCATTAGTGAGAGGAAAGAAAGAAAAAAAGGTCAAAGATGAGCCGGTCCGACGGACTATATATCCGGACACCTCAGTTTCTTTCACACATGGCTGGGTCTGTGGAGTGAAGCCAATTTATTCATCAAAAAAAAAAGGCTGGGTTTGTGGATTTGCGGACAACCATGACAAACGGAGGATTTTGGGGACTCGGTTTAAGAGGCTTCACACACTGTTCGGGCTGTCTGTCCGGATATATAGATATATGAGGACGATAATATAGGATCTGACTAAAAGGACGTGGTTGTTCTAATCCCGAGCTCATGTGAGCTCGGTTGAACAAAAAGAATGGAAAAATTCAAAAATTCTGAATTTTTTTGGTAGCTGTAGGTTTGACAAAATATATACGAGGACGATTTGACAAAATGTTTATAGGTTTGCAAAATTCCATCACCATATTACATTCGTGGAAATCATGGCAAAAGAAACAAAATCAATGCGACAAAATGTTATTTTCAAATGTACTTTGGAGCATCGATTTTGTTTTTGTTTCATGATGAAATTTGCGATCCAACAAACATTTTGTCAATGTTTCACACACAAAAAAATCAGTATTTTGGAAAAAAAAATTACTGGTCACCTGCGCTCACATGAGCTCGGGCTTCGGACATCACATTCGCTGACGAAATATATTTCTTTGTCTAGCGTAGATTCATTTATACGTGCTATAAATTGTTGGAGCTGCCACTTACACTCAGAGTTGGCAGCTGGGTGTTGTGAAATACTCCCTTCGTTACCTTATATATGGTGTATTTACTTTTAATTCAATTTTACTAAAATTTTGCAAGTTAAGGTGTATTTCTTTTAATCTCATGTTATCGTTTCTATGCCTCCGCCCTCATGCACGAACAACCTCACACGAGAATCAAGGCTGAAAGCTAGTATCATAGAATGATACCATATCTTAATGAAAAGAATTACTACTATGTGTCATGCAAAACAATAAATAAGGTCATCTCAGATACTAATGTACTATTAGTGGCTTTAAAATGAAATCAAAATTCATTCATCAAGGCATGATAAATACGACGATCGCAGTTTCATTACAATGAGGCTAAAATTAGCCATTAATGGATTTGATATGTGTTCCGGGAAATGATGTCTTTTGGAAGGCACACGATGAAGGTATCTTGACCTCTTAGGAAAATGGAAGGCAAAGATTGGTTGTCGATTTCTATAAATACAAGGTGGATATTTATTAATTGATTTATATAAAGATAAAAAGGTTAGTCAAATTATGTTGTTTCTTTGGGGGAAGTCAAACGAGTGAGGCATTTTGGAGCTCATCTTTTTGAAAATTCAGAAAGTGTATTTCAAAGGCTCAAAATATTTTGGAAAAAATCTACATGTTCATAAGAATGTATTCTATAAGTGTGTAAAGTTTCACTATGAAATATAATATCATGTGAGCTACATAAAAAGACAAATTCATGTTTTTTTAATGAACAATGAATGCACACTCACCTTTTTAAAATCATGTATTTATCTGTTGTTCACTAGTAAAAACCCATGAAATTTCCTTTTTGTGTAACTATCATCGTCCAACTTTACACATATGTGGTACACATCCATATGAACATGTGTGATTATTTCTTAACTTCAAAATGTGAATATTGATTGTTTTTTTAGGAAAAAAAACGAGCCATCTGAATTTTCGAAGTCAAATTCTATTTAGCATTTCATAAATGCAAACTGGATTATAATTTTTGCATCCTGCAAATTTCAGCCGATTTGTTTCAGAGTAGCTTTTTTTTAGTGGTTGTTTCAGAGTGTTTTTTTTTTCTTTTTGCCCAAAGACAGTGCTGTGAACGACGTATGGGCTTGCAGCTGTGAGGGCCCTTAAGACAAAAGCCCAAACAGAGGTGGTAACTTGAAGAAAACCCTAACTCTAGGCAGGCCCGGGCCGCACGCACCGTCGACCCGGCGGCGCATACTCTGTCTCCGGGGAGAAGCGACGTCGTCGGCGGGGCGACGCAGCGAGCGGAGCAACGGCGAGTCCGGGGCCAGGTTTGCCCCTCAGCTCGTCCATCTCAACTCTGAACCCTGGGATGTCAACATTTCCTTCTTAATTTTTTGCGGTAGGGATGCCAACATTTTCGACAGATCCACTCGCAGATTCGCCATGTCGTCGACGTTCGCCGGTGTATCCGTCGTGGCCGGCGGCAAGCTGAGCCCTTCCACAGCATCGTCCTTCCTCACCAGCACGGACTGGGGGTGCCACCTGCTTGTGGTCCAAGACTACTCTCGTACCAAGCAAGCCACTCCCACCGGCGAGTGGATCAGCTCTCGTCCTTTCATGGTAGGAGGCCATAAATGGTGCATCGACTACTTTCCTAACGGCTAAACGGAGAGTTGTGCCAACTTCATTTCTCTATTTGTTAACCTTCTCGATGACGATGACGATGACGACGCTGAAGAGCCTGTGAAGGGGAAGTTCAATGTCAGTTTCATCGACGAGGCGGAGAAGCACAAGCCAATGTACATTTCGGAAACTGAAGCATTCAATTTCCACTCTGAGTCCATGCTGGGCTACAACATGTTCATGGAAAAAGATGTCCTTGAACAATCATCGCATCTAATGAATGATTGTTTCACCATCCAGTGTGACATCATGTTGTTCAGCTCCAAGGATGCCAGTGGCGATAAGGTGCTCATGTCTGAAATAGACCAACATTTGAACAATCTCCTTCAAACTAAGGTGGGTGCTGATATGACATTCGAGGTCAGTGGCGAGATGTTCGCTGCGCACCGATGTGTGCTTGCAGCCCGGTCTAAAGTCTTCATGGCACAACTCTTTGGCCCCATGAAGGAGGGCACTACTACATCCTGTGTCATACAGATCAAAGACATGGAAGCAAAAGTGTTCAGGGCTCTGCTTAGCTTCATCTACACAGACTCACTCCCTAAGATGGAGGATGACAAGATGGAGGAAGACGAAGCAGCTGCTGTGGAAGAAGGACAAGAAGAGGAAGCAACAGAGGATGAAATGTCAGAAGTTGCGGAACAAGGACAAAGAGAGAAACCACCAGAGACTGTGCAATGGCTGCAAGGCTTGCTTGTAGCCGCAGACAGATATGATCTCCAACGGCTCAGGTTTATCTGTGAAAGGCAGTTGTCCTTGCGCATAGGTGTGAGCTCGGTGGCGTCTACTCTTGCTCTAGCTGAGCAGCACCACTGCCGCCCATTGAAGGCGGCATGCTTGAAGTTTATCCAAGCCCAATCTCCGTCGTGTTTGCAAATAGTAATGGCGACCGATGGCTGGGAGCACTTAATTACAACCTATCCCTTTGTTTTGAACGAGCTCTTTGCCATGTTTGCTTTGAACCAGAAGTAACACTTCATATGGTATACATGTTCCTTGGATCGGTAATGACACTTGTGCATATATGGGATTCTCTAGAGATCGTAGTATGTCTCTCTTGCTTTTGTCTCATCATTTAATTTGCCTATCTGCTGAATCGGGCAAATCCAACATATGGGCAAACTGTCTCCTCATGGTCTGTAAATTCAGGTGTAAGCATCAATGCTGATCTGCATTGCAGCAATGTGCTAGTCGTTTTATCCTACTATATTTCTATGTGTTTTAGTTGTGTTGCATGTTGTTTCCTTTGTGCCTTCCCTGTCATGTAAATATCTTTTTCCAGTTGTTATCAGGGAAAACATGTAAATCTTGCTCCGGCACTCAGGAACCTTCTCCTGGGTGATTTGCCGTTCTCCTCGGGTGGGCAGAAAGATTTTGCAAAAGTTCAATGTTGTAGTTGTGCCCCTGTAGCCCGAATGATGGTTTCCGTTGAGGTGCATTTTGAAGCACGAATGGTTGCTGTCAGTTTCGGTGTTTAAAAAATGGGGAGAACTCCCAGTGCACATCGTTGTCTATATATTGATGTCAGTTTGCAAGAAAGCAGGGGATATGAATCATCACTCTACCTATTTGTAAATTATCAGCAAAGAAAATATGTGAAAGTGTCCGTGGCCTATTTTAACTTGAGGAAACTAGTGCGTTTTGACCGCTTGTAACTTGTTGCTCTTGGCGCGGCGGATTTCAGCAGAGATGTATGTGGGGTTGAAATTCATGTTACAAATTAGTGTGCAAGGTAGGTCAACCTTTAGTGCATATTGGTTTCTGCATGCACCTGGCAATCAGGCAACATGTTGCCTGCTTATCTTTTGGTTTATCACAGCTACTACTACATGAAAATTCAAATGCTGCCAGCAATGTTATGTTCGATTGTGTAGAGCTCGTCTCGCACGCAACAACGATATATAGTTTAGCGTGTCGGTCGACCTGTAGAACAGTAGAAAGAAATCTTATGTGCAGGTATGGCATACCCTGACTTGCTAGACATCTACAGCAGAAGGCACCAATATAATTCTGTTTTCAACCATGAGAAACAAAATATATGGCTGTCACTCAATCAGAAAATTACTTCTTGTATCGACTTAGCCATGTGTCTCTCACAAGAGACAACCTGCCATTTTACGCAAAAAATAAAAATAAAAAAAATAAGAGACAACCTGCCATGCCAGAGTATCTTGGGAGTTAAGTTCCCGTATTCAGTGCCGTTGGAGGCAGACCACACAGGCCTCGAATAAGGTTATCTAAGATGTTAACATCTTATACTATGCACTACGAAGTGGTATCATACACTACGAGTAGCCTAACTGTACTGCGTGCTATTAGCTGGATGCAGACCACAAAATCATTTGTTTCCCGACGGAAGGGCATGCAACATGCATTTCTGTTTGAAAATATACTTCTAAGGGATTATTCAAGGGTATTTTTGTCTCAAGTTCTGCTCGATTGCGTGTGTTACCAAGAAAATACACCTTACGAAAAGGACGAAGGGAGTAGAAAGAAAATTACGTCACGGTTTTCCCCGTGGGGATTTTGAATCTAACTTTGATATAATTATCAGTGGTTTTAAAATGAAATCAAATTCATTCATCAAGGCCCCATAAATGTGACGACCGCAATTCCATTATAGTGAGACTAAATTTAGCCATTAATTGATTTGATATGTGTTCCCGAAAAATGAAGGTATCTAGATCTCTTAGGAAAACGGAAGGCATAGATCATTTGTCGCTCTCGGTAAATACAACGTGGATACTTTTTAATTGATTTACAAAGATAAAACAAAGGCCAGTCAAATTCTTTAGTTTCTTTGGGGCAAGTCAAACGAGCGAGGCATTTTGGAGCATAGGCTCCATGGAGGTCTTTTTTTGGGAAAAATTCAAGAAGTGTATTTCTGGTCCTCAAAAAATGGAAATGTCATCATATTCATATGGATGTGTTTATAAGTGTATAATTTTTTCACGATGAGATTCATTGACATGTGAGCTACACAAAAGAGACAAATTCGTGGGTTCTTAATATCGAACAATGTGTGCATGTTCACCATTTTCAAATCACAAGTTTATCTTTTTGTTCATTGTTCATTATTAAAAAGTAAAAACCCACGGATTTGTCCCTTTTGTGTAGCTCTCACGTTAATGTATGTCATCGTCAAACTTTACACATATGTAGTATACATCCATTTGAACATCTGTGATTAATTTTACAAAATGTGAATTTTGAAAAAAGAAAAGAAAAAAGAGCTGCATCTGCATTTTTCAAGTGAAATGCTATATAGCATTCCATAAATGAAAGCCGGATTATATTTATATTTTCTGGAATGAACTGGATTATATTTTTGCATCTGCAGATTTCTGCCCGATTCGTTTCAGGCTTCGGTTCGCCCAAATCAGTGTTGTGAATGATGTATGGGCTTGCAGCTCGTGGGCTCTGAAGGCCTTAAAACAGAAGCCCAATCAACGTGGTAAGTTAAAGAAAACCCTAACTCTTGGCAGGCTCAGGCTTGCCTAAAAAAAGGCAGGCTCAGGACGCACGCACGCACAGACGAGCCGGCGGCGCATACTCTGTTTCCGGGGAGCAGCGACGGCGTCGGCGCGGGCGGCGCAGCGAGCTGAGCGACGGCGACTCCGTGACCAGGTTTGCCATGTCGATCCACTCGCAGATTCGCCATGTCAACTCTGAACTTTGGGACGCCAACATTTTCGATGGATCCGCTCGCAGATTCGCCATGTCGTCGACGTTCGCCGGTGTATCCGTCCTGGCCGGCGGCGAGCTGTGCCCTTCCACCGAGTCGCCCGTCGTCACCAGCACGGACTGCGGGTACCACCTGCTTGTGGTCCAGGACTACTCGCTGACCAAGCGAGCGACACCCACCGGCATGAGCATCTGCTCTCGCCCTTTCATGGTGGGACGCCATGAGTGGTGCATCGAGTACTATCCTAACGGTCAGAAGAAGAGCTGTGCCGACTTCATTTCTCTATATGTTAACCTTCTCAACGACGAAGACGATGCCAAAGAGCGTGTGAAGGCGAAGTTCGAGTTCAGTTTCATCGACGAGGCGGAGAAGCACAAGCCGATGTACATTTCTGGAACCGAGACACTCAGCTTCCGCGGCGAGTGTCTGCGGGGCTACGGCAAGTTCATGAGAAAAGATGTCCTTGAACAATCAGCGAATCTGATGGATGATTGTTTCACCGTCCGGTGTGACATCATGGTCTGCGACACACAGGATGCCGGTCGCAACAAGGTGCTCCTGTCTGAAATAGACCAGCATTTAAACAATCTCCTTCAGACTAAGGTGGGTGCTGATGTCACATTCGAGGTCAGCGGCGAGATGTTCGCTGCACACCGATGTGTGCTTGCAGCCCGTTCTAAAGTATTCATGGCACAATTCTTCGGCCCCATGAAGGAGGGCACTGCTGCATCAAGTGCCATCCAGATCAAAGACGTGGAAGCAAAAGTGTTCAAGGCTTTGCTTAGCTTCATCTACACGGACTCACTCCCTCTATTGGAGGACGACGACTTGGAGGAGGATGAAGGAGAGGCCGTGGAAGAAGGACAAGAAGAGGAAGCAGCAGAGGATGAAATGGCAGAAGTTGCGGAACAAGGAGAAGGAGAGGATGCAGCAGAGGATGAAACGGAGCTGCAATGGCTACAAGATTTGCTTGTAGCTGCAGACAGATATGATCTCCAACGGCTCAGGTTTATCTGTGAAAAGCGATTGTCTGAGCGCATAGGTGTGACCTCAGTGGCATCCACTCTTACTCTAGCTGAGCAGCTCCACTGCCGCGGATTGAAGGAGGCGTGCTTGAAGTTTATCCAAGTCCAATCTCCCTTGTGTTTGCAAAAAGTAATGGGGACTGATGGCTGGGAGCCGTTAATTATGACCTACCCCTCTGTTTTGAACGAGCTCATTGCCAAACTTGCTACAAACCAGAAGTAACACTCTGCGTGATGTACGCATGTTCCTTAGACCTGTAGTGACTCTCTTGTCAGTCTTATGCATATATGGAATTCTCTAGAGAGAATGTAGTCTGTATGTCTTGCTTTTGTCTCGTCGTGTAATTTGCCTATATGCTGAACCAGACAAAACCAGCATATGGGCATACTTGTCTCGTCATGGAATGGATGGTCTGTAAATTCAGGAGCAATGAAGCAGTGTTCATCTGCATTGCAGTAATGTGCAAGTTCCTTCGACCTGTAGTGACTCTCTTATCAGAAGTGCCAATGTTTATCTGTGTTGCAGCAACGTGCGAAGTTCACCAGCTAGTCGTTGTATCCTCGTATATTTCTCTATGCATTAGTTGTGTCGTATATTGTTTGCTGTCTGCCTTCCCTGTCATGTTAAAATCCTTTTCCAGTGGTTATCAAGAAGCACATGTAAATCTTGATACAGTAAGGAACTTCTCCTGGATGCTTTGCTGTTCTCCCTGAGTTGTGCCCCCATGGGAGACGAAGGTCGGAACTCGAAGATCTTATAAAAGTTCAATCTTTTAGGTGTGCCCCTAAACCCCGAAAAAGATGACTTCAGTTCTTATTTTGAAGCTCTTTCAAAAGAAAACTTGTTTTGAAGCACAGTTGAGTGCTGTCAATTTCGTTGACGAAAAGATGGGGAAAGTTTTCAGTGCACATGCAGACAGGGGCTATATTTGGAGCTATGCTCGTGTTAACCTAGATAGGTAGGGAATCAATTGATATCCTAGCTGCTTCGATCCTGTTACAAATTCCAGGGCATACATAGCAGTTCTTTGCTGGGTATCAGAATCGAAACATTTAGTGGTGAACACATTATTGTCTTTATGTTCATGCCAGTTTGCATGAAAGCAGAGGATATGAATCATCACTCCACCTGTTTGTAAATTTTCATCGTCAGAGTAAATAGGTAGGGAATCAATTGAGGAAACTAGGTGCTTTCGACGCTTGTAACTTGGCGCGATTGGCACAATAGCTTTGAGCAGAAGTGCATGCGGGGTTGAATGGTTGACCAATTATCCATCTTACAAATTAGTATGCAGGATAGTCGACCTTGTGCAAACTAGTTTCTGCATTCACCTGCCAATCAGGCAACATGTTGCCTGTTTATCGCACAGCCACAGCTATATGAAAAATGTAATGCTGCCAGCGATGTTATGTTGAGTTGTGTAGGTTTAATATCACAAGCAACGCGGATACATAGAGTTAAGCATCTCCGTCGACCTGTCGAAACAAATCTTCTGCGGAACTACAGCAGAAGGCAGCAATGTAAATCTGTTACCAACTAACAGAAACATGACATATGGTTGTGACTTTGATCAGAAAAATATGTGCCTGTATCAACTTAGCCAAGCGTCTCTCCCAACATTGGCCCTGCCATGCCTGATGACATACTTTCAGTTACCTACACAGCATTCCCCGGCATTCCTCGAGAATCAAGCGGCGTGCGCAGCGAGATAGGCAAGGCGCCTCTCTTCAAAGGAGTACTCGGTGCTCTCTAGCAAACACAGCTCTGGCTTGTCATTGGAGACGCAGACAGGTGCAGCAGTCAGAGCAGGCGTTGTGGTCATTTGCATGGGAGAGGTCACCATCATCGGCGTCTTGGGAGTTGGTGCTGCGAGTATCTTGGGAGTTCGGTTCTCGCCTTCGGTACCATTGGAGGCAGACCGCACGGGCGTCGCTGGGTTGCTATTTCCGGGTGCGATCTGCGTGAAGGGTTTACGAGGGGTTTCAGTCTCACCAAGAGTACTTGCCTTGAATGATAACTTCTTGATCGGAGGACTGGCAGTGCCTTTGCCTCTACTACCTGAAAGCGTTTTTTTTCGTTTTCATCAGAGATAGTCTGTTAATTTGAAAGTAAAGAAACTGAACAACTGCATCAGCTATGGTTAAGTGAACTTGCCAGGGGACAGAGTGCCACTATCTTCTGTCTTCTTGGCTGAACGGACGGATCTTGACTGAGGTGTCACTGATTTTGGAGTTCGCACTGGCCCACCGCCAACAGACAGCCTCCGGTTTGTACCAGCCGAGGGGTTTCTGGTAAGCTTCTTCCCGCTGTTCGACCTTGATGAAGGGCTCGGCTTTGATCCGTACAGCATCTCCTGCTCAGCTTTGAATTGATCCTCAAGCTTCTTCTGATCCTGCAATCGCTCACCCGTCAGATACCATCCGCAGATGAACACAGATGCAAGTGCAGAAAAAGTTAAGCAAAATATGAATACCCTTTGCCTCTTCTTTTCCTGCTCCTTTTCTTCACGAACTATCCTATAATCATCAAGCATCGACAAAAGACTAACCTGAAATGTTGAATGGCATGAACCTTTGACAGTATAGAAACAGATATTGTGTTTACTCACAAGAATAGCAGTGAAATTACGGGTACATACACCATCATAAGTAAACTCAGTGCCCCTTTCTTTCTCCCAGGCTATTACTTTATTTGTAAGAACGTCTACAATTCCTGCTTCATGCAACAATAAACCGATCAGCAGTAGCATTTTAAAAATAACAAGCAAAAAAACGTAGTTAGTAAGGGTCTTTCACCTGGTATCTTGTTAACCAAAACACGGGCTTTTTCAGCTCTCTTAAGCATAATATGTGCACCCCTCCCAGCATTATATCGGTTATCGTCCTAACATAACATGTAGATAGCGAAATTAGTAGCAGTTGATATAGAAAATTTTGTCATATAGCCTGGATCAAATCATCAAACACAACCATACTTTGCTGTAATCCTCTAACCAAGCTTCCTCCTCACATGCATTTAGCCACCTTTCAACTCGCTCGAGTATATCCTTCCTGCTAAAAGCATCTTCTTTAACTGTTGCGATGTATGCTTCGATTTGTTCTAGAAGAAGTGAGGTATCAATAGCACCTGCAATGAAACAACAAATTACAACATTAATAAATGATATCAACAAACACATCTGTTTGTATCTGAATGCTGCAGCAGAGAAATTTACAGGAAAAAAATCCTTATTCTGCCAGATGCACCAAAGCATGTTAGAAAGCTAGAAACATACCTGCTTCAATGGCCTCGATATTGAACTGAGTTTCATAATGTTCATCCCCAACTAAATGTGCCCGTCGACGATGCTCTTCTAATTCTGTTTGCTTCTTAAGAACTAAGTCCTTCATTTTACTGACTTTCAGTTGCTCAAGCCTCAGTACCTCAGCTTCTACCTGCATCAAAGAATATCATCTCCACTAAGCTAACCAAGAAATACAATTAAATCAAGTTCTGCAAACAACACATTGACTCACAAAGTTCATGACGTCAATGGAAAGGGCATTGGCCTCTGTTATTTCAGGTTCTGATGCAGCAATATTGCATGTTATATTCTGGAATGACTGTTGCTCTTCTATCGGCGTATCCATAAGATTCCATAGTTCGAGCATCGTAGACGAGAGGTCTTGAAGCTGTTAGAGCTAACAGAGTTAAGGGCCGAAAGCAGTCATATGATGATTTTCTAGGTTAGAACTGTAAGGTGCTAACCTTCTGCATCCTTTCAATTTTTGTTTCCCGTAGTCTCTGTATTGCCAACGCCAACCTCTCAATTGTGGTGTTGCTTATGTTCATTGGTACACCATCCTCATCGAGACTGGGGTGTACATCAGATATTGTTTGTTTGAAGTCAACGGCAAGTACTTTACATAAGGAATGCAAAGTATTCAAGTAATCCATTACTTGCTTCAGCCGCTCACTCTGCAGGATATTTTAAAAATAACAGAACTAGCATATGTGAGAAATAGAAGATGTAATCAGTGGCTACAAAGGGCAAAAGGCATGAATATGAACCTTCTCTTTCTCTAGGGACTGCAGCTCCATTCTTAACTCTTCTAGCCTTCTGCAGGATAGATCAGATTGATCCACAGGTGCTTTAAAAGGGACAAAATCTGCAGGTCTGATCTCAGATGATATCTTCTTTATCTTGCCTATAACATCAAGAATCTGATTCCATCTTTCGACCTTTCTCTTCTTCATCTCTTCCAGATATGGGACGATTGCATTTAGCTCCTCCCGTAAGCCACATCCTTTCTGTGTAGAATGAAGAAAAAATATAATGGAAAATACTCATTATTGGTGGAGTCCCAATAGGAAGCATCAAGCATTTGAAATTAGTTGCATTAACAATATATGTGGAGCGAATACGCAACATCATTATTCTGAAGCTGTGTTCTACAGTCAAATTGGACAGTTAATAAACACAGCTGCCTCGTTCGGATGGAATCAGAATGGTACGACTGCAACCAAATTTACACGAGCCTTAGTTTTCCTCTGCATGGATTGGTTGGAATCGCTACCATTATGGACCCATCAGCCAACTAATTGCTGACAATTAGGCATACTTGCAACCATCTATGGAATAATTCGTGTATTTATTTATTTATTTATTTATTTGAAAGAGGATTCATATTTCAATATCCTGCTTTCTCATCAGATGAACGAAATGACAGAAGTGACAAAAAACAGATATCTGCTGCCTGTCCTGGCACAGAATTAAGTTCCTAACGCAATTAAGACCGACTGGACGACAGAATTGTAGGGGCCCGAAATTCATTTATACAGTGGACACTGCACATAATTAGCACAGTAGTTTTTGTCTCATCAACACAAGTTCCTTTGCGGCATTTGAGAAAACAACAGGTCGAGCAGTGACCAACCTGCCTGACGAGGACGGGCGGCTCGGCCATGGCGGAGCAGACGGCGGCGAGCTCGGCCTGGGCGTCGGCGATAGCCTGGCGCAGCTGGGCCCGGCAGCGGCTGGCCTGGTCCACCTTCCTCCGGTAGGCGTCGAGGCACTCCTGCTGGAGCTCGAGCAGCATCGTGTCCCTGGCGGCGCCCTGCTCCCCGATCTCGTCCCAGATGACCTGCGCGCACACACACACGCAACCAACCACGAGCGATCATGACGCATACACGCACACACACCCGCCGCAAAATCACACCACCGCGGTACGTAATCGAAGGGGCGGGGGGCGCACGCACCTGGAGCTCCCGCATGAGGGCGCCGCACGCCGTCTCCATCTGAAGGAGCTGGCCGCCGCTCATCCCGGTCCCGGCGAGGGCGCCGCGGCCTGCGAGGGGACCGAATCGAGGGGGATCAGTTAGGGCCTGCCGCGGCTTAATTTCCGCCCCCGTGATTACGAGCTCACTGACCAGTGTGCGGCGGCGGGAGAGGGCGATGGAGGCGGGCGGAGGTGTCGCCGGAGAGGGCGGCGCGATTGGGGTGGGGATGGGGCGGAGGAGAGGTTTGATTTGAAATGGGTTGGGAATGGGGAGGGGGCACACGGGGTTGGCGTTTGTGTTTTCGGGATTTCCGGGGAGGAAGAAGGGAACTGCGCTGGTGGTCCCCACTCGTTTCGAATTCGCGTCAGGACCCGTCGTGGGCCTCCCGTTCCCCTTTCGTTGGGGCAAGGCAACGTTTGAGTTTGGGCTCGCCTCCTTGTCAATCTCCTCTTTTCTTTGTTTTTGAGAAGATGGCATAGCTAACCACTCATGTCAAGTGGTCAAGCTCCTCTTTTCTCTCTGCACATTCTCATTCTCAAAAGAAGAAGAAATCTATTAATTCTCAAAAAAAAATCTATTCTCATTGTTACTAATCGCACTTTTCTCAAAAAAAAAGCAATCACTCTGTCCATTCTCATTCTCAAAAGAAAAGAAAAAAACTGCCTAAAACAAATCACTCACTCTGTGCATTTTGAAACTGAACTCGAAACCCATGCCAAGAATAAATCGAACCGAACAAATTCTATGGTTTTTACGGTATCTGGTTTTTGATACGACACTGTTTTGAATTTTGGTCTTTTCGTATATACCGAAAAACCGATCGGTTAACTGGATTAAATGAGGTCAGAAATATGTTTATATTTCTTTGAGGGAGCACTGTGCAAAACAGCCGATCACATGAGCATGTGAGCTTGTCTCGCTTGCATTGTCCAACATTCACAAGCCGAAGCACAGTTTTATATAGACATCATATTGGCCACATCATGTCTCTACTGTTAAAGGGGAATGCATACGTCGTCCTCGTTCATACGCAACTACCAATGGGAAAATAATTTGAAAGTTGAACGTCGAATCAATTTGAAAATCAAGTCATTAATGAATTAATTAGCAACACAATTTAATTACATGTGCAACTAATTAATCCAATTAAATAGAGATTTTCCGTGTGGAATCAATTATCAAGTCATTAATACAATTATTTAATTACTAGGCAGCCGGTTAATTAGGCCTTCCAGATAATTAGAAATAGGGATTTAACCCTATTTTGCAGAATGGTCTACACTGCTCATAATGTACCACTTCGCATGCCACCACTCTTTAAATATTGTTTCATCCCTAGCAACTTCTCGCATGCCACCACAACATCGTTTCATCACATAGAAAAGCTACTATAAAAGATTAAAAGGAGTTGCTGCCTGCTCACTCAAGCCTACGGAAAAAGTTAATAGGCAGACCAAAGGCCCAAAAAAGCTTTTAACTTGTTTTTTTTTGCAAGAGTTAGATTCGCTAAGCATGTCTGTTTAGTTTTAATGTTTTTGTAACAATGTCTTGGTGAGGATGGACAACTCTAGGGTGGTTGATGATATACGCTTAAATGAGGGACATCTATGGTGGTGGCTCCTGTTCTAAATGATTGTAGAGTTATTGCGAGAGTTCGGGAAGGTTAGTATTGAGCATTGTAATACAGAATCAAATGTAGTTGCTCATGAGCTAACTGAGTAGGGGCATGCAAACACCCCTTCCGTATGGGTGAATGCACCTCCGGTTTCTATTCGTAAAAGATTTAGCAGATAATGTAAGCATTATTTGAGTGTAATAAAACTAACCATAAAGGCCTTTAGTAAAAAACATGTCCATTTTTATTTTTAGTTTTTTGGTAACGTGGTCATGTTTCTCTACAGAAAACATGCTAAACATGCGGAAATTGCTTTTGAAGATCGAGCTCCATGCAGATCTCCAAATATAAATTTAAAATTCATGTAAATTCATATTTTTACATTTAGAAAAATCTGAAGAAAAAAATAGAGATAGATAAATGCATAGTGCCCAAATGTGTAAATTTTTAGGACGAAATACGTTAAAATGGGGAGTGTGCAAAAAAGACATATTAAGCTTTTAACACATGATATTATTCATTCTTCAAGACCATGAATTTGTCTTTTCATACAGATCGCATTTCAACGTATTTCATCCTGAAACTTTACACGCATATGTCTCACGTCCTGGTTTACTTGTACAATTTGTTCAGATTTTTTTTGAAACCGAAATTTTCAAATTTCATTTTTTTCAAAAAAAAAAAACAGCCTCAATGGAGGCCGACAAAAACGGCTTTCTCTTAACAAAGCAAAGCATGCATATGCAAATACTTAGGAAGGGAGGGAGTACATAACTAAAACTTACGAAGAAGCCACAGTCCTTAAACAAGTGTCGGACACAGATGCGATGTTTGACATTGCTTGTGATGATATTTCTATGTTATCATCACAAGAAACCATTAAAAGAAACAAGACACCCATAGTGGCACACACGATGCGATGTTTGACATTGCTTGCGTTGATTTGAATTTATTTTTCTATGTTTCTCAGAGAAACCAAAAGACACAACGTAGAAAACGAGGCACTTTTAAAACCTGAACACAGACAACTTCGCCAACAACAATAAACTAAACCAATTCATGATCTGTCGGATCTGCATTACAAAGGGCACAAGTGTTTTCCAAGCCAAGAGTAGTGTTGCTGTTGTGCAGACTAAACCAATGTCACTGCAGTTGCTTATTACGGGTAAATTGGAGTAAAAACGAACAAAAACAAGGATCCCTCAGCAGGAGCTGGCACACTCCTGCTCGTGAGCAAGTCTCGGGCGAACAGCTGAAATCCCAAAAAAATTAACTTGTACAGGGCGGTGGCAACACCTCGTCATCAAGCGTTCTCGCTGGCGATCTTCTCTGCCTTGGCGATGACTTCGTCGATGCCTCCAACCATGTAGAACGCGTGCTCGGAGATGTCGTCGTACTTGCCGTCCAAAACACCCTACACGTTTCACCAGGCATGTTAGCAAAGCGCACACAATATAACCAAGCAGTCATACGAGGAACAGTTATTCTTCTTAAACAAGCAACTGCACACAAAAGAGCGTCTCAAATTGCTGAGTAAGATGATCATAAGCAACAGAAACGTAATAGGTTTTGTGCGATGTTCATGCTGCATGGGCTGTCCACAGGTTTGCAAGCATGGGGCAAATACCAACTAATTTTCATGACCAGGCACTTCTAAAATAGTGGCATTACTTACTGTTCTAAAAAGAACTACCATGGTTCAATTCTCACCTGGAAACTTTGAACACCCTCCTTAAGATCCACATACTTCCCTGGAGCACCAGTGAAAACTTCGGCAACGTGGAAAGGCTGGCTCAGGAACTTCTGGATCTTCCTTGCACGAGCAACCGTCATCTTATCATCTTCACTGAGCTCATCCATACCCAAAATGGCAATGATATCCTGAAGATTCTTATAGTTCTGAAGAACCTTCTGGACACCACGGGCAGTGTTGTAGTGATCCACACCCAGAACGTGGGGAGAAAGCATTCTTGATGTCGAGTCCAAAGGATCGACAGCAGGGTAAATGCCCAGCTCAGAAATCTGCACAAGTAGCTCATTACAGTCATGATGTGCATGTTGTGTGTGCGTTGAATAATGATCATGTACAAAGGATGACGGACAAACCTGTCGTGACAACACAGTAGTAGCGTCAAGATGGGCAAAGGTGGTAGCAGGAGCAGGATCCGTCAAATCATCAGCAGGCACATAAATAGCCTGGACAGATGTAATAGAACCCTTCTTTGTCGTCGTAATCCGCTCTTGCAGTCCTCCAAGATCGGTGGCAAGAGTTGGTTGGTATCCCACAGCAGATGGAATACGTCCAAGGAGAGCAGACACCTCAGAGTTTGCCTGCCATTTAAGAGTAATAAAAGATAGAACTATTAAGACTTGATAGCAATGGTAACAGCAGGTTAGAAAGAGAAATATTGTTCAACAACACAATATGGAGCACAGAAACAGAGGTGTCAGTACAAGAAACGCCCTGCAAAATTTACCTGGGTGAAACGGAAAATGTTGTCAATAAACAAGAGCACATCTTGTCCTTCAGCGTCACGGAAATGTTCAGCAACAGTCAAACCAGTCAGACCAACACGAGCACGAGCACCCGGGGGCTCGTTCATTTGCCCGTAGACAAGAGCACACTTGCTCTCAGCCTGCCACAGAAATCATTTTGTAAGGAAAGATAGCTTGCATATATGAGCTTCAGAGCTAAAATTTCAAACTCCATAACAATTACCTGCTTCTCATCAAGCTTAATGACACCACTTTCAATCATTTCCCTGTACAAGTCATTACCTTCACGGGTACGTTCTCCGACACCAGCGAAAACAGAGAAACCACCTAAGGAAAACGAATTAACCAGGTACAATCAGTAAACCATAAGAAGCAGCTACACAATATAAACAATACAACTTTGTAGAATACCAACCATGGGCCTTGGCAACATTGTTGATCAACTCCATAATAAGAACAGTTTTACCCACTCCTGCACCACCGAAGAGACCAATTTTGCCACCCCTTTGGTAAGGTGCAAGCAAATCCACAACCTGTCAGATACAGAACCATCACACTACGATTAACACTTGTTACATTATGACACATGCTCACACTGCATTCAATGGTTACATGAAATATCCTAAGATAGTCACGGTGATAGTGAAATGTTGTACCTTAATTCCAGTAACAAGAATTTGCTGCTCTGTGGCTTGCTCAACAAAAGCAGGGGCCTCACGATGAATAGGAAGGAAGTCGTGTGTCTCTACAAGATAGAGATGTATCAATAATAACAATGGTAAAAAGACATGTACATGAAGGAACTCGTGTAGAGAATGTCACTTACTTATGTCACCCTTGTGGTCAATTGGCTCACCAATAACGTTAATGATACGTCCAAGGGTGGCCCTCCCAACAGGCACCTGAGAAAGAGAAACAACTTCCAAGTCAAACAAATGAAGCACACTGCAGGTGAGTACTCCCTCCATAAACTAATATAAGAGTGTTTAGAATACTAAACTAGTGATCTAAACACTCTTATATTAGTTTACAGAGGGAGTATGATTCAACTTCCAAAAAGAACACCACCGATGTACATGTATACATCATATACAAGCAGAGGCTCTTGCAGCAGGCTGTAAATTAATCCATCTAAGGACACAGAAACCAAGTTTCTAGTATTCATTAGGCCACACATGATATAGATAACTGTAACAAACAGACTTAAAAATTGAACTAGTGGCTACAGGCCTATGGAGCATCAAAGTTGAACCTAGATATATCACACAGATGCACATATGAATCATAATTAACTTCAAAGGTTTGATAATCGAACAGCAGACTACCAACACCCAACCACAGCAGTCAGAACTTGTGAATAATACGT